TTGCACGGAGTATTTGTTTTAGAGAAGCCGAAAGAAAGGGGCACCTGTGAAAACAGGCCACTGTTCCAACACACATACACACTCGAATTAAGGCAGAAAACGTCAGTTAGAGCCTCCAGTTACTCCCTACTTCTTGGAGGTTGGAAGCCACCGAAAAGACAGTGGTGTGCTTGCTGGAAGTTTCAGGCTAATTACTTGTTACTCTAAGCATGGTATCTGGTAACCTAGTTCTGTGTGAACCTGACACTCTATAGCTGCTACACCCCACTATCTCTCTGGTTTCAGAATTTTCTAAGTCTGTGTAGAAACTTGTTGTGATGCTGAAGTGCCAAAGGGGGCAGTGCAGCACCATTCCCTAAAAGGGGGGAAAAGTGTTTCCCAAGTATTTCTTCTGGAAGCTTTTGCCTTGTCTGTGCTGGGTGCTACCCTTTTCTTTATTCATTTCCTAACAGGAGCTCATGTGGCGGGGGGCACTTAACTCCTAGAGCAGCTGATGATGCTCCTACAGCACTCTAGCAGTAAACGGAGATAACCTGAGACTGTGTGTTCTGCCTGTTTATATGAAGTTAACGCACCCATGGTGCAAAGCCTTTCTCGGTGGAGCATTCCTACTCCCAACTGCACGGAACATTCCAGAAAGGAATCTTCACTGGATGTGTGACGCTAGCCTAGCTGCCTACAGACATCCAAGGCACTGCAGAGGTGAGGGCCAGAGAGGGACTGGCCTGATCCCGAGGGCCCACAAGCAGTGGAGGATAAACCAACTCATACACTGCTGTTCCCTCTTCCGGGTGAATTTCACCACTGAGTCAAAGTAACAATATAAGCATTTGAGGGAGAAAACTATGTTTCCCAAAATGTTGCAAGTTTCAAGTATCCTTGATTTTTAATACTGTTTCAGGAATATTCTAGTGTCTTAATGTCATCCTTCTAGGATGACCCAGTTTGTAAACCTCATTCCTTAAAAATGTCAGCCCACTTCCTGATCTGCTCAGTGATTAAATCTAATTCTAATGATCTTACTTTTCATTTGTTTGGATAAATATCCATCTGTAGACTGGAGGGCTGCTGACTGCGTAGACCGCCCTGTGCGTTCTACGGCACCGCATCAGAAAGTTAAAATACCTATAAGCCTTCAACATTTAAAATGCTTTCAAAATTAAAGCTACGAACGAGCAAGGAACTCAGGACCGCGAGGGGTGAACCCACACACTGAGACAATGGGGATGTTCTATCGGGAACTCACCAAGGCCAGCTGGCCTGGGTCTGAAAAAGCCTGGGTTAAAACAGGTCTCACTGAACATAGTGGACAATGAGGACTACTGAGACCTCAAGAACAATGGCAATGGGTTTTTGAGCCTACTGCACGTATTGGCTTTGTGGGAGCCTAGGCAGTCTGGATGCTCACCTTA